ATTAGATATATCTGTATTATTTCTTACAAAAACATGTGAAGCTACAATTTTCTCAAAAAGTTTTAAAAAATTAAACCATAGAGTGTTATAACAGGACTCTGGAAGTAATTAACCTTTCTGAAACTCAATTTCTTTGTCAGCCTTAAAGTGGGAGTATTAATTCCTACCTAATGAGACTTTTGGAAGGATTACATGAGACAGTGTATGTGAGCATCTCATAGGGTTCGTACTCCATGATGATATTCAGTAAATGCTGGTTGCTTTCCCTGTGCTTCTTGCCCATTGTCTTAGGGAAGAAACCAGGACAGACAGTCTTGCTGCATCTCTCCTAGGAAAGACACGTGACCTGAAGCTAAAGGCAGTTTGGAAGCAGACATTAGTGTGATGAACCTCATAGCAGTGCAGTGAGTCATGCTGTTACATAACTTTTGCAAATTGCCAGGCAGATCAGCTATCATGGTTTGGCGTAGCTGACCGGTAAAACAAGGCAGCTTCCAAGCCCAGTGCGAGCCGGGGCGCCTGACAGCGCAGCCAGACTCACCCTCCAGAATGACTGCACCGGCCTTGGAGCTCCGGCGTTGCGTTGGACTCAGACTTGCTGTAAATCTGTTTGAGTGGAAAAAACAAAAGCGATTTCTCGCTGGCTGATCCCCTGCATCACTGTCCCCAAGGGGCCTAGAACAGCTTTTGTTCCCTTGAAAAATCCTTAATCACGTCTCCTGAATATGAGTTTTCCAGGCAGCTGCACAGATGAGAAGTAGGGAGAGACGAAGGAGAATAGACATGTCTTGATCCTGAGGATGTGATTGTTGAATGAATGGCCAAGGTGTGTCTCCCACACATTTCCTGAAATGTTCAGACTTTCCCAGGGCTCTGTGGTTGCTCCTGACCTGACAAATGTTTCTATCAGTGAGGGGGTGAGGAACACAGGAGGCAGCCCTACCAAACTTTTTAATGATACCGAGGTGAAAGGGAGTTTGGGGACGGAATTCCACATTTTAAATGATTTTGCCAGATTCTGGGGGCACTGAGCTGATCATAGCAGGTTGTAATTTAATAGGGGTAATGTCAAAACCCGTACTTCAAAATCAAAAGCAAAGTGCATCTTAAGAAAGGCTTAGATTAAGAAGGGTTTTATATGAGAAAGGTATAGGGATTTTATTTGGCTACAGAAAGGTATGAAGCAACAGTGTGATGTGGTTGTAAAAAAAAGACGTGAGGGATCTGGAAAAAGAAAATAATCTTTCTACCTTATGTAAATTGCACTAGTTAGACAATACTTGGGGTGGTATGTTCAGGCTAGGGGCCAAATTTAAGAAAGGTATTGATAAGTTGGAATTGGTCACTAAGGGAAGGAAGGAAAAAGAAGGATCAAATTTAAAAAAACCCAAAACTACATTCTTTAAAGAATGGTTGAAGGAAAATAAAGCTATTTAGCTATCTTTTACAGTTACCATATGGAAGAGAAATAAACGTCTGTTTTGCTCTGAAAGGCAGAAATGGGATTAATGAGAGAGGATTCATGGAAACAGATTTTGGCTCAGTAGAAGGAAAAATTTTCAAATAATTAGAGCAGTCCAGTGGCGAAACGGGCTATTTCATTAAATTGCGAAGTTTCTGTCACTGGAAATATTCAAGTTAGGGCCTGATGAGTGTCTGCCTGGAATTTTGAAGGCTCTCAGCATTGAACGAGAGCTCGGGGTAGGTGACCTTTAAGATTACTTCTAATTCCCACAGTTCATGATTTAAGTAAGCATGAATGCCAAGGTCACTTATGACATGCCAGAGCCACTTTTTCAACTCTTGGCTCTGATTCTGACCAGCTGTGTGACCTTCAGTGAAGGAATGAACCATTTCTTCTTCCAGTTTCCTCATCCATAAAACGAGGGAGCTGGATTTAATGATGTCTAAGTTCTCCCCAGCACATCTGTCTCCTGAAGCATCCTCATAATTACAGCATGTTTGGAAAGTAGAATTTAAGCTGATACCTGCCATTTTTCCTAAGTCAGCTTGCAGGGAGAAGGCTTTTAAAAAACAAACACCATTGTTGATTCTGGGGCCATTGAACTGAAGTCTCAATTGTTTGTTGGCAGGACAGCGGGTGATTGTGATCCTAGAATTTGTTCCCATGAGCCCTGTGGCAGGAAGTCGATCACATAACTGGTAATCTGCTTCCTCTTGAACACCTGTACTTTCTGGCTAAGTGCAGCAGTGCCTTTGCAAACAACTTAGAAGAAGTGAAGATCGTATTACCATTGTAGTATAGTTGTATGTTTTGCAAAGCAAACCTTTGTTCTTTATTTCCTCAGTGATCTGGCTGTTGTTGTTGAACTGTGTTTATAATCTTAAAAACCAGTATCCGTAGGCAACTTACCATGTGGCAGATACTGTTCTTAAAGTTTTATATAAATGAATTTAATTAGTTTATACGCTGAAAACCTAATGATGAATCAGTAGATTAGATCCTTCTTCCCCTATAGAAAAGAAGTAGTTAAAAGCCATTAAGGTCTGTCTTAATGGTAAAAAGTCTAGAATTCAGATCCACACCCTCATTCTTTTCAGCTTTACTGCTGCTATTCAATTACTATCATTTCCTTGGTGGTCCATTTGATTACCAATACTTTTCTTCTTCGGCTATATTTAGGTGCTCTGTCCTCTAGCACTACTACATTCTAGCTCTCTTATTTCTTCTTTGACTACTCTCTGACTCACACTGGTTCAAACCTCTTTTCTTCAGCTATTTTTTTCCCAATGACCTTTAATAACGCATCCATCAGTGGAAGTGTCATCATTTGTTTTGATATAGATATAAAAAGTATGTACAGGATTTCACCCAGTTACTGAGATCTGTGGGGAAAGAAATAAGTAAATTTATGCTTCTTGTAAGGACGGAAGAATTTAAAACTTCATTCCCAGGCTTATGGGTCTGGCAATACTCACTCCATCCAAGTACCACATTTTATTCCATCTCTTTGTTTCCCTATGTTGGAAATGAAAACAGATGTTAAGAATAGGAGCACATGAGTCAATCTTGAATCTCAATGTGATAATTACAATTTCTGTCTCAGTACGTGAAGCCCCTCCCCATGTCCCAGCCCACTCACTGTCAGTTTTATACCAAGACCTTAATTTTTGTTTTCCAAGCCTCTAAGATTAAACACTAAATCAATTGCCAAACCAGAAAAAAAATAACAAGGAAGAAAATACTTCAACTTAACTTAAAAACTTGATTCTTGGGACATGCTTTTTAAAATCTGATTTAGAGTCTGACCAAACCTCTATGTTGATGTTAGAAATGTCAGGTACTGCTCCACGTTTTCGAAGATGGAGCTTCTGGGCTTTTTGGTACCCTCACTGTGAAGAATTTTGCTTGGACCAATATAGAGGCTATGCCTTGAATTTTATTTTCTCTTTCCCGTGACCTAATAAACCAATCTTAAAAGAGTCATCCGCAGCCTGTTAATTGATTGTCACCTTTCAGAGCAGATTGATTCTTCTTTAGTTCTGCTCAGTCCCTGTGTCAGCCATCGAATCCTTGACTGTCTAAAGCGCCAAAGGTGCCCAGTGAGTCAGCGGGGCCAAGCTAAGATCGCCCAACAAATGCAAGTCACTTGTAATTGATAAGAGACTTTTCTGTCCTACAGGGGAAGAGGCAGGAGGCAAGAGACTCAGCTTTGAATCACTTCACTTTGCCCATTTTATTTCCCCTTTCTACAATTTGATTTCCTTGTTGTTAGATGACATTATTTTCATAATTCATTCCCTGCTGACATATCTATAATTCCGGTATCATTGTATCCTCCAAGAGCTGGTGTTATGTGTTGAAAACTGGTTGATCCATTTAGGCTGTTGTAACAAAAATACCATAGTCTTGGAAGTCCAAGATCAAGGCACTGGCGATCCAGTATTTGGAGAGAAAGAGAGAGAGGAAGGGAGGGGAAGAGAGGTCGCATGTTTCCTTTTATAAGGGCACCAACCCTGGGCTTCCCCTTCATGACATAATTACCACCCCCTCCCCCCGGGGGCTCCATCTCCAAATATCATCACACTGAGGATTAAAGTTTCAACATGTGAATTGCGGGGGCACAAAAATACTCAATCCATAGCAGAAATGAAGACGTTTGCATGCGTGCTGTGACCTGTGGACTTCTGGGAAGGCCATTCAGCCACAATTAAAGTCCTACTGTTAGATATTAATTTCTTTGTGGTGGGATATTACCTCTCAGATATGACACCTTTCAAAATCCAATATGCTTCAAAGGGTGAACCCATAAAATTAGAATGTAAGGTAGTATAGAGTAGTCGTTAGAAGTAGGCTCTGGAGTCAGACTGCCTGAATTCACATCCTTACTGGCTGTATGACCTTCAGCAATTAATTCACCTTTCTGTGCTTTGGGTCTCCTCATCTGTAAAATGGGGGTGGTAACAATGCTCATCTTAGAGTCTTTTGTGAGGTTTCAATGAAATGTGTAATGGGCTTAAAAGAACAATATCCTGCTCTATAAGTGTGAGCAATTATCACCCCTCATTTGCATGAGTCAGCGTATGGTCTCTTTTGATAGTAAGTTGACAATCATGTCACAGAGAAATTGGAGTTTTGTTCAGGAAACTGGGAAGGGACGGACACCGTGGAGACATGAGGCCTTGTTGAGGAATGACTGCTTAGTGTGAGGTGTCACAATGGGTTGCGTAAAGCCACGAGGTGCCTGGGGCAGGGAAGCAATTACGAGAGAAAGAAAGAGGGATGGGTTGCCTCTAGTCCTAACCAGGACACCCAGGAATTGATAGAATTAATCCGCTAGTATAGTGAGCAAGTAGCATGATGTATATCTGCAAATGAACTTTGAATTCAGTGCATGCTTAATTTTTCTGTCCCATAATTCTGCTCCTTATAATAATCAGGTGAGGCTAGGTTTCTGAAACATTACTCTTGAAGAACCGCGGACAAATGTAAAATAAAATATTTTTCTTGACTAAATGCCCTTGCCTCTTTCTTTCAGATTACGTGAAGCAGACAACGTTCGAAGCCCAAGCCTTTTTAGAAGCTGTGCAGTTCTTCCGACAGGAGAAAGGTCACTACGGCTCATGGGAGATGATGACCGGGGATGAAACGCAGGTAACACGGGGCTCGGAGTTCGGATCTTGCTCTCTGTCTGGGAGGTAGGAGATCAGGGTCGTAGTAAGCAGCCCAACAGAAAAGCTTGCAGGAGCGGAAGATGCGGAACCAAAGACCATTTCTCTCATGGTCTAATTTTCAACGTTTTGCGTCTCATGGCACACATACACTAATTACTGAAATTCTGCAGCATGCCAAAAAATATATTTTTTTGCCAATCTGACAAAAAAATAGGTATAATTTTGATTCATTCACCCTGGACCCTGGATGGCCATTGTTGTGTTGGCTGTTGTCATTTTTTTTTTTTTATTTGACAGTCGAAGGGGAAAGAAGTCAGCTCCTGACTTCTTAGTTTAGCTCCTGACTGAATGGCCAGGTATTGTGTGCTTTAAAAATTCTTGTGCACACCAGTGTGCTGCGCCCTACCAGTTGAAAATCACTGGTCTAGAAGCATTTGGTCTGCAAGGCCATGGCTGGGCACCTACTCCAAAGACCACCAACCAGGCATGAACAAGGGCAGCCAAAAGCACTGCAAGGGCAATGAGAGGAGCTGCTTCTACTTTTTCTATAAAAATGATTATTCTTTCAGATGACCTTCTGCTTCCAATACAGAAGCAAATGTGAACAGCGCGGCTGAGCGCAAAGTATGTGGTGGGGATTTAGGGCATCGGCCTTGGGTTAAATTTTGACAAGTTATTTAACCTCTTTTAGTCTCAGCTAACTCTTCTGAAGGAAAGACCATTTTTGGCTTGCAGGGTTGTGAGAATTTGGCACACAGTTGTCTTTATCTTTTGAATGATTGATACATTCATTAAAGGAGACACATTTTAAGAGCATGAGACAGTTCTCTATGCATTTCATTTACCTTTTCTAGTTTTCCATTCTCTGTGGTCCAGTATAATTTTCTACGACCTTAATTAAATGCCAATCATGGGCTAAGCGCCATGACTTGGTCCCTGGGACCTTGTTACAACTCTCTAACGACACTGTGTTTCATCATGTGAGCCTGTCCTCCACGAGGACAACAGTGACAGAGTTGATGTGTGCAGGAGGAGGCGGCTGCAGGCATGGCATTCTTTAATTAGAGGCCCACATGGATGGTAGTCTTTAATTTTCCCTCATCTTCCAGAGTGACTCTTTTGGGGACCAGTAAAATTTGTTATTAGGGAACAGTATTTGGAAGATGGCAGATGGTGCCTTGCCTTTGTATGGTCATTAAACATCTATACGGCTGAAAACACTCTCGGGATGACAGGGCTGTTCTTCATTGTTTTACCACGTGACTCAGAATCTTTTTTTTTTTTTTTTTTTTTTTTTTTTGGCAGATTCTAAACTCCTTTATTTCCCACCCTGAGACTTATTCAGGAACTTTAACCAGTTCTCAGTTTCTGATATTTTGGGGAAGCTCATCCATTTATAAACCCGAGAGGACTAAGGACTAACCGTGCTTTTGCCAAAAAGAAAACAAAAGGATTAAGAGAAGGCTGAAGTATTTTGGCCCTGCTTGATCTGTCACATGAACAAACATATTTAGTAGATACACCAGTATTAAAATGCCTCTGTGCGATACTTTTTAATGTTCTTATCCTAATTCTGTCTGTTCATCTTACCATTCTCATGAGGTGGGCAGGGCAGTTATTGTTATTCTCATTTTGCAAATGAGGAAATTCAGGGAGCTATCTAGCAGTTATGTGCCTTGCCTAGTTTTATTCATTCAATGACAGTTTACTGAGCCACCCTCCACCAGGCCCTCTGCTGGTGGCCAGTGATCCGGAGGTGGGCAAGGCAGACTGGTCCCTGTCCTGGGGAGCAGACTGTCCCAGGCCCACATGCTAAGGGGACAAATGGCAAAGGAAATGATAGCCTCTGACCCCTCGTACAGCGGAGGAGCCACACCAGCTGTGGGAATACACTAAGTTACACACGGTCGTTCAGCTCCTTGAGTGGCTGGGCCACTTGCTTCATTTTCTTCTTCCACTTGAAATCGCATGTCAGTTCCCATTCCTTCACCTTGCCATTGAAAACAAGTACTTACTAAGCCCTTTCCGGGGACTGAGTGTTGAGCTTGCTGTATTTGCTTTTGTTGACTTTCTGCTTGTTGCTTTGGGCTGACATGTGTGAAGTGCTCTAAGGTGCAGGAGAGCTAAATGACTCATCCCCTGCCCTTGGTGAGGCAGGACCTACCTAGAAACATCCAGAGAACAAGGCAGTGTTAGCAGTGTGTGTGGGTACACACGTGTGTCGGTACATATATGGACAGCTCAAAGCATTAGCACAAAGCAGCTGTGAGTAGGTGCTAATTCGGCAGTATAACAATACCCTAACGGAGAAAACAAAACAAACACCAGACATCAGTACAGCTGGAGTTAGCAAGGGACCCAAGACATTTTGCTTCTCCAGGGAACTGAGTATCTTTGGTGAAATCACAGACTCATAAAATGAGCATGTCTGAGGGGGTGCAGCGTTTCAGGACTGATTGCCTAGTGCCCTCCGGGGGAGGTGGGGAGAAAGAACCTTCGGAGAGGTTAGTTGGCTGACGGCAGAAGTCACAAAGCCGGTCTGTGACCGAAATGCATTTTGAGCCTTGTCAGGCGATCCTTGGAAAACCGGTGAAAGGAAGGGGCCTCCAGAACTCTCCTGGGTGGGTCTGGTGAGGGCAAGCTTCACTGCGACCTCTTAGACACAGAGCCGAAGCACGTCAGCCCTCAGACCCAGGCAGAAGAGAGGTAAGGGGCCCTAAATGGCTGCCAAGTGGGTGAGAATGTGGCATGGCATTGCCCGCCAGAGAGTAGGACATCTCTTGTTTAAAGTGCTGGGCTTATTTGCACTGTTTCTGCTAAGAACTTAATCATAAAATTGTCCTAACCCCCTTTACCCTAGGGGCCTGTATTTAGATTTTCATCATTGTTACAGTGTTATCTTCTCAGGCATGACTCACACAGCAGACATGGCAGACCCTCTTGGCTGTGGTTATTTTAGGCGCCGGTCCAGGTAAAGCAAATATCCTAGACTAACTTGCTTGACAGACTATTAACACAAAATATTAATACAGATGAAAATACCACAGTTCCCCCTTATCTGCGGTTTTGGTTTCCACAGTTTCAGTCACCCGTGGTCAACCACGGTCTGAAAATACTGAGTAGAAAGTTCCACAAGTAAACAACTCCTACGTTTTGAATGGCACACCGATCTGAGTAGCGTGACGAAATCTGTCACAGTCCCCCTCCATTCTGCCTGGGACGCGAATCCTCCTCTTGTCCACGGTGTCCCCACTGTCTCTGCTACTCGCCTGTCAGTCATGAAGTAGCCATCTCGGCTGTCAGGTCAGTTAGAGAGAGACCACATTCACATAAACTTTCATTGCAGTACATCATTATAATTGTTCTATTTTATTATTGGTTTCTCACAGGCATGTGTGTATATCTGCGGTTTCAGGCACCCCCGGAGGGTCCTGGAATGTATCCATGTATCCCTCACAGATAAGGAGGGATGACTGTATTTCTACACCAGTAAATATGTTTTCTCCCTGTCAATAGAAATGTCAAAGGAGGTCACATTGGAAGGCATTTTGTAAAATGTAAAGATCTAGCTATTTATTACTTGCCTTTAAATTAGCCCCATGGGCCGAGACAGCAGCATCCCCACAGGAGAGGGGGCTTCGTCCAAGGAAACGATCCCCATTTTTCAGGCCTCGTTCGTAGGTTCAGGGTGGGAGGGACAGGAGGCTCCGCCCTGCCCTGTGACGGACCCCTCAGGCCCCTGCCATGCAGCCCACTCCCACCCCCTCCTTTTTTTTTTTCCTGGACATATTTCCTTTAAAATTGCTTAAGTTATAAAAATAGAACCAAATATCTTGGAACATTACATGGGAAAGACGAAAAGAAACTCATAAGCCCACCCAAGTGGAACACTCTCTTTCTTCGACCTTTGTAACATATTCATCTTTTCAACCCCATGTCATGCGTATGCTCAGATGCAAACCAATCTCTGCAGAAGGATGAATTGGCGTAATTAATATTATTAGGGCCATTATCTTGAATTTCACACTTCTCAACGCAGGTAATATTTCCTGCTGATTGTAAGCTCTGGCCTGGTCCCCGCAGGCTCTGAGCTCGCTCTCCCCACCCCACGGTTCCATGCCTCCTGGGCAGTTGTGTTCCAAACAAGAACGGACTCCACTGACCCCAGTGGGGGCCAAGGATGATTAACTCCCCACTGCTATGCACTTGTTGGACCTGCTGACTTCCGTGGAGTTTGCACATGTCAGGTTCTTAAGTTCCTCAAAATGCTGGCTCACCTTTTGGCTGCCCCAAGAGAATGGTTAACAAAGGCAGAAACACCCCTGCCAATGGATTACCAGGGCCAGTGGAACTCCTGTCTCCATTATACTCTTTCGCACCTTGGAGTTCCACATCGCAGATGACAGGCCCCGCCATGGGCCGCATTTCCCCGGCAGCCGCCTCTCCCAGGACCCCCCAGCCACTTGGGGGCCTGGCTGGCTTGCCCACCTCCACGCTGGGAGTGTTCCTCTTGAGTTCAGCTCGAGCGTCACACCCCACTGGGGCCAGCCCCGGGGAAAGGCAGCATCTAGTGAGTTCATGAGTGTTTCCACCAGCAGGAGGCTGCCCGATGACCTCAGAGAAAATCTTTCTTAATTCCCCAAGTTTAACTTGAATTTCTATGAGGTCGATTATTTTGGACAAATATTATTGCAAATTCATGGAGCAGATGTTAAATGATTCTGCAGTGTTGTGCCTGCCTCCAGTCCCCCAAATGGCACTCGCTCTTTTGTAAGGCTCGGTCTGCAGCCTGATGTTGAAAACTGAGCTGTGAGCTCTCAACGACTCATGGCAAAGTGAATATGAACAGTAAGATTGCTCCATTTAGGGACAGGCGGAGGGGGGGGGAGAAGGAGGAAGGGGCAGTATAACTTGGGGTATTATCTGGGGACATGTGGAATGATGCTGATTCAGAAGAAACATTTTCACTGAGCCAAGGAAAATTGTAGGAGAGACTTAGGATCAGTTTTGTGAGACCTCCCAACTTGTATGCTGCTCATCCCACAAGGCCCAGTTATTCCGAAGTATTTGTTACCCCCTCCTTTTTCTGAACTTTCAAGAGAATGGAGGCGGGGCTCAGGGGACAGTCATGTCAAAGAACGTGAAGACACTCAGACCCCAAGGGAACCATGGTCTCAGGGACTACAGACAAGGACTCCAGCCACCACCACCAAGCCTGCCCCGCTTCACAATTCGGCTAAGGATGCCTTTATCCAGAATTGAAGTTTTCCCTCTTTTCCTAAATGCATTAGCTTCCTCTAATTTAGACGTAAGAGGTTTGAATTTGAGGAATTTGTGCCTTCTGATGGGAAAACATGAGCAGACGTTGTTGTTCTTTGTGGTTGTTGAAGAATGTTCCCCCTCTAAGGTTTTCTTAGTTGAGATTTCGGTGGCCTTGGGTCCTGAGTAAAACTACTGACCCAGCAGGTTTCGTGTAGCTCAGGACAGTCGTCTGCAGCCAGGATGGGGACAGCCAGCCGGGACATCATCGGTTGGCACAATGCTCAGATTTTTGCCGTCACCAACTAATGGACTTGGGGACCCTCTTCCCCTTCTGCTCGGCAGATCCTGAGTCACCTGGTGATGGAGGAGCTGCTGCCAACCCTTCAGACAGACCTTCTGCCTAAAATGAAGGGGAAGAAGAATGACAGGAAGAGGGCCTGGCTCGGCGTGAGTGTGACTTTGCGCCCCCCCCCCACTCCCCGCCCCGTGCTACTCAAAACAAGCATTCCTTTCCCTTCTCTTTTTAGGGTAGCCTGTTTTTTTAAAAAGCTAATTCCTTCCCTGGGTAAAGAACGGCCTCCCTCACATCTGCTCAGTCTCACCTAAATGAGGGCTAATCCGAAGAGAGTCTAGCTTTGAAGGAAAAATTAGAATGTGTGTGCAGTTTTGTTCAAATTACAATAATCTGGGGTTAATCCTCCTCCCTGCACGTGACTCTGTCAGGCTCCTCCACGCGACAGGGCCCTGATTCCTGTGTGTTGGCCCCTTGCAGCTCCTGGAGGAGGCCTACAACCTGGTTCAGCAGCAGGTCTCAGAGGGATTAAGTGCCTTGAAGGAGGAATGCAGAGCAATGACGAAGGGCCTGGAAGGAACCATCCGTTCAGACATGGATCAGATTGTGAACTCAAAGGACTTTGTAACTGGGAAGATCAAAGGTTAGTGACGATCATTCCTGTTCCTACTCACGCAATAAGCTGTGCCTTTAGGGCAGCATCACATAGTTAGAATTCATGGTTTCAGAGGAGAACTGAACTGAGGGCATTGGAAAGAAGTGATAACAGTTGTAATAGGAGCTTGCTTGGAGCTGTTAGGGGCCTGGCTACCCCTATGGAAACTTCAGGGAAACTTCAAGGAGGAAGCTTTGCCTCTCGCCTCGGGTGGTGGCTATGTGTTCTGATGCCACCCGCGCGTCCCCTGTTGGAGCACTTCTTACACTGCACAGTCAGGGCTTACGACCCAGATGCAGGATCATTTGGCAATTTCAGTTATTTGCTTTTCAAACAGGTCTTCTCTCAAAGTTAACTGAGAAAATAATTCATTATTCTCCTGACAAGCAATGTTGTATTTGGGTATCAAGCAAGCTGTTTTTAGAAGTCATAGATGCTTCTTATTTGAATCATGCAACTGAAAGGCTTTTTTTCCCTAATAATTCTATGACCTGCTTAATATTTCATGTCCCAAATATTTCGGAGTTAAACATAATATTAACAGTATTGGTCATCTTAGATCATCAGAACACAAGGCAGTATGGTCCTCTATAACTCTTGGAAATATATCTGCGAATTGAAGTAAGAATGTGACCATTCATCTCACTGCAAGCAAGTTATTTACCCATAAAAACTCGAGAAATACACTTGACGTGTGGTTCCATTTCTGTGCGTTAGGGTGTGGCCTTGGCCAAGCCATCGGACATCTCCAGGCTCTGTCTGTCCATCTGACAGCGGACGCCCGGACAGCCAGACGAGCGTGTCTCCCCTGTTCAGTTCGGTGCTGCCGGGACGAGGCCACATGACTTGCCTGGCTCCTCAAAGCTGGCCTTCCCGCCCCAGCTCAGGCTTCCTACACGGGGTTGCTGCTTCCAAACATGGCCGGTCACGAGAATCACCTTAGCACTTAACAACCACAACAAAAAACTAATAATAAAAGCAGAGATTTCCATGTCCTAGCCAGACTTCCAGAAGCAGACTCTTTCCTGTGTTCTTCCTCCTCTAGCAAAGGGCAGTATTTGCCTCCGGGAGGTGGGGAAATGGTTACATTTTTTTCTATCCCTCTTTCTGATTTTCTGGGCTCCTTCCATTTTTGCCCCTGTACATGCTGTCCTTAATTATCAGAACCAAAAATAGTGTTTGTTTGTTTTTAAATCAGGGGTGGGCATGGGAGGTGGGGTGACAAACTAATAGGAATTTGTTTCCATTTGCCCAAGAAAAGACTGTACTTGAGTTTTAAAAGAGTCTCTTGAGGAAGGGAGAGGGGAATTGAATTATATTGATTGACTCTTAGAGTAATGAATGAAAACTTAATAAATTGTTGTATACAAATAATTAATCATTATGTTGTGCACCTGAAACTAATACAATGCTATGTGTCCATTCAACTTCAATTTAGGAAAACAGTGAATTGTGTTTTTAGAAGACAAATTATGTATATACAATGACAATGACTGATGGGTTTCTGGCATTTTCTTTTTCGCATCAGGCATTGCGTGGTTATAGGGACCAAGCACAAAAAGGCAATTCATCCCAGGGCGGAGGAAAGCTTGGGGAGTGGAGAGATTCTGATTGTTTCCATTTTCAAGGCACCTAACAGTTTACTGGTCTGGCGAACGCCAGTACAGGGCTCACCGTGCTGGTCTGCAGTGCGGTCTGCTCTTGTCGTGGCTGTTCAGCGCTCTGCGGGCAACTCTCCAGCCCTGGCCCGGCGGGAGCGCCTTTGAATCCAATTTTGCCATAAGTCACAGTTTTCTGGCTGTTTCCTGCCGCAGCGATAGTGGCCCAGCCGGCAGAGAAGAGCTGTGCGGAGAGCGTGCAACCGTTCCTGGCGTCCATTCTGGAGGAGCTCATGGGGCCCGTGAGCTCAGGATTCAGTGAAGTCCGCTCACTCTTTGAAAAAGAAGTGGATGAACTGAGCCAGAACTTTCAGACCAGCAAAGATGGAGCCCAGCTGAAGGAGGTAGGACATGAAGCCCAGGAGTTCAGTGTGAATGGTCTGCCCGGGGCCGCCTTCCCCGTGGGCTCTATTGCATTCGTCCACTCTTGCCTTCCTTCCCTCCGCCCACTCCCCCTCCTTTCCCCCTTTCATGCATCTCCCATCCATTCATCTAGTCTGTCTTCCATTCACCCAATGGCCCTTTCATCCATCCATCTACCTGCTCTCATTTAATGGTTTTAAGTTGCCAGAATAATCACATGTATATCTATGCACAATTAATTGCCCATTCTCACCCAGTCCTAGTCAACCTCCACCCGTAGGCCACCTCCCTTCCCAGCTCCATGAATCAACTAAAATAAGTAGCTTAGAATGTGTTTTCACACATTTTTTTCCTTGTTCATACAAATATATAAGCATACAGCCTTGTTTATATAAATTTTGTTTGTTGGTTTGTTTGGTTCTAAAAATACAGACTCATCATAAAAACCAATGTTGCTCAAAGCTGGCTCCCTAGACCAGCAGCATCACCATCACGGGCTGTTAATAAGGCAAATGTTCAGGCCCCCACCAAAGACCTACCAAACCGGAAGCTCTGGGGGTGGGCCCCGCAGTGCGTTCTGGCAAGACCTCCAGCGGGTCTGATGCCCCCTAGCGTGTGAGAACCCCTCACAGACATAACTTGCCAACTTGGTTTTACACTTGACACATGATGGGCATCCCTACAGTCAGTGGATAAGACCAGAGACGTCTGTTCCTTTTCCTCTCTTACTTCTCTGTACAGATCTGCACATGCCATTGTACATCAGCAAGATCACTTTGTATGTATTCTGAGGTTTTTTATCACATCTTTCTTTTTAAACTTGCCTTTCCTCTCATTCCTCCCCACATGCCACCCACCCCCACCTCAGGTAATTAGTGTTCACACCTTAGCATATGCCATCCTGTAACTTCCCCATGCTTATATAACATATAACACACACACACACGCGCACACACACACACGCGCACACATTCATAGGCTATTTTTTTTTTATTGCTTGGTCGTAGCAAAATGGGATTATATTACTCTGCTTCTCAGTCTTCTCACTCAAAAATGCCTCATGAAACTGTTTTCAAGTTAACTGTTCCAGCTCTAAATTGTTCACTGTAATGGCTGCATAATATTCCATGTGTGATTTATTCAACCACCCAGATGTTGCCGGCATGGAACAAAGCTGTGCTAAGTAACGTTGTTACATGTGTTCTTATACCTGATGCTTCCATTTCTACAGGATAGATTCCTAGGACAGGATTGGTAGGCTGAACAACAGGTTTATTCCACGTGTTAACAGTTTCCATTTGCATTCAAAAAAGAATTTAAAATCTACACTGCTACCAATTGTGCATGGCAGGAGACTTTTCCCTGCCATGTTCCCATCAGAAATAGGTTTTCCCACTGGTGTGAATTTTCACCCATCTGCTAGGGTCAAAGTGGCAAGCCTTTCTTCCTCTCTTGTCTGCTTAACTGATATTTCTTAAAAATAGTCACATTACATATTTTGTGATGAGAGGCAAATTCGACAGCACGTTTTTGATCATTAATTCCACATCAGTGGGGCTGGCCGTAACTCACTTCTTAACGAGAATAATACTTTCCCATTACAAGCACAATGAGAATGAGCCCTCTTTAAGTTTCTGTTTAGAAAAATCTAGGCATGTAGATCGATCCCTTTTCTGTGACCTGAAAATGAAACAGCACAATCTATAGAGTTTACACTGTCCCCTGTACTCTGCTCTTCCCCTCTGGCCTCAGATGCAGGGGTCTGGTGGTCACCCAGGCCTCACCAGGATCTTCTGAGAGGGGTGGCACTCATTTATAAAGGCCGTGCGGCTCACGCGCCCAGTCACAGTTCTATGCGCCAAAGGACCTACCTGCCTAGTTCTTGGGTTCTCGAAGCGGGAGCTGAGAGTCAGTTCATCAAGAGCTTAGGAAGGCTGGAGCCCTGGTTCCTGCCTCGCGGGGTCCTCTCCTTATCCCGTGGGTCCTTCCCCCAGCCTCTGCTCTGGAGACAGGGCTGACCTGGGGAGGCGCTGAAGGGAGGAAGACCATTGAGGAAGTCGCAGATGTAGTGATTGGGAAGTGATTCACGCTAACAACACACATTGGATTGTTTAGAACTTTGGTAGGAATGTAATGTGTGTGTAATATTGCTCCTAAGCCTGAAGGTGTTTCATTTTTTCCCTTCACTCGAACGCAGCATCTGGATCGGCTTATGAATCTTCCACTGGATTCCGTGAAGATGGAACCTTGTTATGTTCAAGTCAACCTGCTTCAGGAGCGCTTGCAGGACCTCAAGAGCCGCTTCAGATTCCCGCACGTGGATCTGGTGGTGCAGTGGACACAGAACTATATGCAAGAGGTGGGCGCCGCCGGGGCCTCCCGGGCCGAGGGCGGGGCCGGAGGGGAACAGGCGCTGGCGGAGGGTCTGGCGGGCGGCCGCTCAGGTGTGCGGCTGTCGCTCCGTCGTCATCATATCTGTCCTTCCAGCAGGCTTCACCTTTCCTCCGTATTGATCAATGTCATACAGGAGGAACATCTCCGGGGAATAAAGTGACATTAATTAAAAATTGTTTAATTTACCCTTGGGTGCACATGAGAACCATCGGGGGAGATTTTAAGAAGTTCTAGGCCCCACCCCTGTGATTCTCATTTTATATATATATTGCTTTAAATATTGAAATGATATACCTATAATTCAATAACTTTTAAAAATTCAATAATTTAAAATAATGTTTAAAATAATGTAATAATTAAAAAATATTATATTTGAATAGTTAAAAAAAAAAAAGTGGCCTACTCACGCCCATTGTTTCTAACGTGTGTCCAGGCCTGAGCTCCACAGGCTTCAGTTAATTTCCTAACCTACCTTAGGAGCCATCGGCCACTCCATCGCGGCTTTATATTTGAGTTTCTTGTGTTTACTCGACAAGCTCCTTTCCCCCCGTGAGGAACAGGAATGACTAGCGCAGACTTTTCCGCAGTCTGGTGATTCACACATGAAGGAAGGGTGTGCTCACGGCAGCTGTAAGAGCACAGGTCTATTTCACAGACCCCCAGGGCAGCTGCTGCGGGGCGGACACTGTGCCAGCCTCCCTTCGGGGGTCTGATAGGGAGCAGATTCACTCCCGGGTTGAGAATACGGTGAGAAAGGCATGTGTTGGAATCATAGACTTGGAAAAGAAAGAAACATTTTTTTTTTTCTTAAAAGTTATAGGCAGGATTAAGTGGCCCATCTCTCTATTTAACCCCTGAGTTGTGAGCAATTAGAGAGGGACAAGGAACACAGCTGGGCGGTCCTTTCGCAGGAGGCCCTGTGGTAACACGAACCCTGGCGAAGGTTATACCAGCACACGTGCAGAGAATAAGAAGTCGGAACGCCTTCCTCCCCCAGCCCTTGGGCCTGTCAGCCGCGGTTGCACGGAGCCCTGACCCGGCCTCCCGCTCCAGCCTGGCAGGGGTGTGAGCAGGTGGGTGGGAGGCAGGCAGAGAGTTGTGCCAGGCAGTGTGCCTCCACCTTAACGTGCATGTGCAGAATTAAAGCAGCCAACAGTAATTGGAGGTGACTCCCAGCCCATGTTGTTAAGCCCTGGATGCAGGTAGCAGAGGTTGGAGGAAGGGGATGGCCACAGAGGAGGATGGTATTTTCAATCCCATGGTCCTTGGTTTTCCAGTCCAGAGTGGAAGGAGGAGAGAGGAGAAGAGAGGATGCATAGGATACATAAAGGTATAGATGCATGTATACATACGCACATAGGCATCGACGTGTACATGCTCTGACCGATCCCGCTGTGGCCACGTGCCTATGTACTTCACAGTTCAGGCAGCGGGATGAGGACCTGTTGCCCTCATGTCTGAGGGTCATCCCCCCACCTCTGTCCAGCCACCGTAGACAGGCCTGGGCCAGTGACCCCGCCTCTGACGGGGCTGATTCTGTGCTGCTTTGGTTTCCAGCTCATGGGGAATGCAGTGTTCACCTTTGGGCAGCTGCTTTCCCCACATCTCGGGGGAGAGGCCTCCAAGACAGCAGTCGCCATTGAGAAGGTGAAGCTCCGAGTCTTAAAGGTAAAACCACTGTTTTATTTGTGGGAGGCATGAAACTAGAATGTGACCCCTGGAGGAGGTAGAAGAGGGTTAAGGGGGGGTAAATGGTGATAGAGGAAGACTTGGCTTGGGGTGGTGAGCACACAAAACAATATGGATGATATATTATAGAATTGTACACCTGAAACGTATATAATTTTATTAGCCAATATCACCCCGATAAATTCAATGAAAAAGAAACAAAATAAAAGAATGTGGCCCCTATTTCTTTGTAAGCAGAAAATACCTAGTTCTTTCTCTTGCCCACTTTTCTCTCTCATCTTTCCCATCTTTCCTCCCTGAGGTTCCGGGGACGATCAGCACCATCAGTTTCCCCCAGCACAACTCTTATGCCTCTTCTGCCATCTAGTGGCTATTTTGGAAACCACAGGTCCTCAGCATCATTGCCCACGAGCTGAAGTGACCTGTCCCCGTTTACTTTCAAAGCAATTGCACTTGGTATGTATTGGCCGTGCACTATAAGCAAAGCATCATGGTAGGTATTGCATGGAATATAAAAATAGACAAAGCACAGCCTATTTCTTCAAGTAATTTACATTTAAATCAACCAACGTATGTTAAAAAAAATCAACATCTCACAGCAAAGGAAGTATACTCCAAGTAAAAGATAAGGGCCAAAAAATTTACAAGAAAAAAAAGAGATACCTGCCACGTGATGTTATCTTATTTTTAATGTTTCATGTTTAAGTCTATATAAAAGTAGTTTTAATAATAAAAGCTTGCGCAGATATGCTATATTTTTAAGCTTTTTAAAAACCTATCCTGTTTCATTTGATCGTCACAGGAACTTGTGAGATAATTAAAATAGTTCCCCCTTTTAGATTTGAGGAAACTGACACTCTGAGAGCTAAGGCGATGTATGTAAGCTCAATGGGGTAGTCACGGTGAACTAGAGCTTAAACTAAACTTAAACCTACTGCGCTAGTATTTTACTTCTTCCTTCCCATAAGCCAGCGATTTTCAAATAGTGTGCCGCAAGAATTTTTAAACCATGCAGTACATGACCATGTAGTCAGGGGCACTGTCTTCTTTTCCCTTAGACTGTCCTCTTTTCCCTTAGACTGTCAAATTTAAAAAATGACAACAGCCAACACAACAATAGCTGTCAAGCGTGAATGAGCCAAAATTATACCTATTTTGGGGGTGGGGCAGACTGGCAGAAAAATGTAATATATTTTTGGTGTGCCGCAGAATTTTAGTTATTATTTTATGCATGCCATGAGGTGAAAAAGTTTGAAAATCGCTGCCCTAAAGAGTGCTTGGAGCAAAAGATAAAGTTCCACAGAGCCTAGGAGGAAGTCCCTGGATTTCAGACCTGATATTGAGGTCGCGCAGGCCTCAAGAAACTCTGGCAATCAAATTATTGAAAATAAAAGCAGCCCTCACTGGTGTGGCTCCATGGATTGGGCACCAGCCTGAGATCTAAAGGGTCGCTGGTTCGATTCCCGGTCAGGGCACGTGCCTGGGTTGTGGGCCAGGTCCCCAGTTGGGGGCGTGTGAGAGGCAACCGATCGATCTCACACATATTTCTCTCCCTCTCTCTTTCTCTTTCCCTTCTCCTCTCTGTTAAAAAAGAATCAATAAATAAAACCTTTTGAAAAAGAAATTAAAAGCAATATTTATCATGGTAATACCAATAATAATGAACTTGAAATTGAGAAAGAAAAGATATCAATGTCAATATCACCCCCAGTGTCGGGACACTTTGTAACTCTCAGGAAAGCTCACTTCTTCTCTGGACACATTTAACTACAAGAACATGCTTCCTAGTGTTAAAGCCAAAGTTCTCAGCAGTTGTTAATCTAGTTCTATCCTCTATGTTAATGTCCTCCTTCCACAGGGTAGCCTTTTGTTGTTTTAATGGAGCTATCATTTAGCCCCAAATTACTACCTCCGGTATAAGTGGCTTCATCTCTTTGACCATTCTTTATGGAGCCTGACCATTCTGCTCACGTGCCTATGGCTGTGCTTCAGTGTGTCTGTGATCCCCTTAAAGTGACATCTAAGACCACACTCTGGTCACTCAGTTCGGAGGATCCATGCCGTACAGAGTGAATCATCATCTTTCTTGTTCTAGATGCTAAACCCCTCTGATTAACATGCCATCGTGTTAATGTATCTAAGAGCCGGACCTTCTTTTCCCTTATGGAAATCATTACAACTCCCAGAGCCTGCTTTTAGGATGTAGAATGAAAGAAGTAGATGACCATGGTTCCCAGGACTGCCCCCCACCCCCAGGACAGGGGTGACAAACTACAAATTCACCGCCCAGTTCTATCCCCAACTTCTTTATAATGCAGAAATTGCTGTGTGGATCTTGCCTCAGTTTCTGTATCTGTAAGAGGGGATGGTAAGATGGGTCATTATCAGTCACAACCTCCCCCAGAGCATGAGAGAATTGCATAGAAAGATCTCTGAGACCTTGGAAACGCCATAGGGTGCTCAGAAGTTAGAGGGGAAAGGAGATGGAGTGGACGGCTGGGTTTTTCGTTCCAGCGAAAGTTAACAGATTGCAGTGTTGCTACTTAGCATATGTTTCTGTCTCTGTATTGACAGCAATACGATTACGACAGCAGCACCATCCGGAAGAGGATATTTCAAGAGGCACTGGTTCAAATCACACTCCCCACCGTGCAGAAGGCCCTGGCGTCCACGTGCAAACCAGTAAGGGCTGGGTCACTCCAGGGAGCCTGCTCCCCATTGCCTGTGAAGTCTGAGCACTTTTTTTTTTTTTAAGTCATCATGTGCTTACAAACAGTAGAAGGGGTTGGCCAACTTTCTCTGTAAATGGTCCAATAGTAAATATTATGGGCTTCATGGGCCATACTATTTTTGATGCAGCTACCCAGCTCTGCTGTTATAGCCCCAAAGCAGCCATAGGCTATGCATAGACGAATGGGCATATCTGTGTTTCAGTGTAACTTTATTTGCCAAACCAAGCAACTGGCGGGATTTGCTGACCCCTGGACCAGACAAAAATCTCAAAGGGTAATGGCCTGAGCTTGAGCCAAGCTAAGGGTTGCCGTAGAGCACCTGAGAATTCCAGATGTTTCTCGTTAGACTATGACTCATAATTCCTACATGTCCTCTGAAACTTGACCACCACGTCCAGGAAAAGATCTTAAGTAACATGATTGATTACAGGAGGATATTTATTCTGTTAAATCCAGTAACGTTTGTTTGGTGAAACCAATGAAGCTAACCATTTAAAGCTGTGACAAACCCCAGGCAACCAGTGACAGCCCTAATTATGAAGTATGACTTAGTCTGCAAAGCAGGGTAATGGGTGAGCTGACTCTGGAGGCTGGGCCAAGACCTGGGTTCAAGTCCTGGCTCATCCAGGTATCAGCTCTTGGGCCTTGAACAGATCACTTTTCCTCTCTTTCAGTCTAGATTTCACTTTCCAGAAAATGGAGAAAGTATTACCTTGCAGTATCCTTGTTAAGATTGAGAATACTAGAATGAGGCAATTAATATCTGAAGAGTGCTTACCATGTGCAAGGCACTGTGTTAAACACTGTGCATGCATTAGCTCAATGATTCTCAGGACAACCCCATGAGGAGGTGCTATTTATATCCTTATTGTGGTAATGAGGAACCCGGAGAGATGACGTCGTGGGCCCAAAATCACAGAGCTGGCCACCGGCCAAGTTTGCACCCAGCTCACATGCGCTGGTAACACGGGATGCACTCAGTGAATGATAAAAACTACTATTACTACTTCCACATTTCAGAAATGATCTATGAACCTGGACATGCGCAAGGCTCTTAGAGCAAATGAAAAGGAGCATTTAGAATTTCAAAAGGGCTTGTTGGCAGCTTAGAGAGTCTCCAAGCGTTGGACCATTAAAATCCTTTACATGAGTTATTTTACTGGGGCAATTTCTTCAGGCATTTTTACATTCTGTCAATGCTGTTTCTCTTCAAAGTGACATCAGCATCTCTCGTCCCTGGCATTTATTTCTGGGGGTGTATTTCCTTCATAGGGAGGGGTCAATGCCGGGGGAGCCGCCTGTCCATATCATGGTCCCCTGGGCAAAGGGGTTGGAAAAGTTCAGCTGCCCAGAGGATGGCTCAGTCCACCTCGGGACGGGTCAGCACACAGACCTCCTGCTTGGGATGTTTTCCTTTTCCAACCCAAAGGCAACCTGGGCCTCGGGACCGCCTCCTTCCAGAAAAGGGGAAGGAAGGGCGAGGAAGGCTTTCTCTCTTCCTGCCCTCCTCTGTCTAAACACCAGCACAGCTGTACCCAATTTGTAAGGGGCTCTTGTGCCTTTTAATTACGAGAGACTGGTTTCAAAAGAATCTGTGACCCAGGGTTTTCCGTAATGAAGGATATGGTATCAGTGTCAAGAGATTTTTAAAAATCTAGATCTACAGAATAGATAAATTAGGAGAGTTCCCGCTTCAGGGAAGAATTCTTTATTTCATTAAAGTGTGGTTTCTCTTGGCTCTTAAAGTTGCAGCTTCCTAAACCTGCGGTACTTCACTCAAGATGAGCGTTAGAATGGCCGAGGAAGCCTCTAAAAAGTCTGATTCCCCAAGCCCCACCCTCAGGGATTCAATTTAATTGACCCAGGGAATTCAACACGCAAGTGTCACAGTTCAATCCATTTCATATACAAGGTCTGTTTTGTAAAGCTGGCCACGTGACAACTGTATAAATGTCCCTAGAAATTATTTCTTTCCACAGAATTGTTTAGCTGGTTGACATTTTAAAGGTCTCCTGTTTATTCAGCAAACTGGCATTAAATATGTCTCAGATACGATCCAGGCCCTGGGCCCGGCCAGCGGCCCTGGGATCCGGGGTTCACTCAGAGCCTCAAGGCAGGAGTCAGGCACGCAGGGTGCCATGTGGGGAGCTCAGCAGTAGCCACGTGGGGACAGTTCCTCATGCTGGAGTTCCAGGGAGGTTGCCTTGCTCTGCCTGTGGTCTGGCAGGGCTGCCCACAGTCCTGTTTCTGCCCAGTCCTGAGGGGTGAACTATCGTCAGGGGAATGGGGACTGGGAGACCACGGGAGGACGTGAAAGGGTGTCGTGGGCATGAGCCTGTGCCCCTCACTTCACAGGAGGAGAGGGGCACAGAGGGGTCCTTCCTCTAAGGCGCATATAAAGGGACCCGCTGAGAGCCCCCTTTGACCTGGTCCTGGGCTACGGCAGACCCCCAGGCCCTAGCACTGGGAGCTGTCTGAATGCGGTGGCTTCTGATCGCCTGTTGTAAATCTTGTCCCTCCAGGCAGAAGGCATCACATCCCACACCGCTAAGTCCCTGGCTTTCTAATGGCCACAGGCCAGGAGCCCTTTCCAGCACCATCAGGGCAAGGATGACTGAGTTAATCAGCAGGGTAGGATGGGGTGCGCTGGGGTCCCTGCTTCCTCATCATGATGACAGCAGGCAAGCTGTTTGGAAACCCTTGGAAGCAGGAAGGGTTAAAGGGTTTTGTGTGCTGCCTGAGTTGTCTTAGAGGAACAAGTGAGCACCAGGGCCACGGGGAGGGAAAGAGGAGAACATTCCTGAGTCCTGAGGAGTCCTTGACTAGAGATTCTTACACCAGAAAAGGGGACCCATTCTAATGAAGTGAAACACACATCTGCTCTAGGACCCAGCAGTCTCATTTCTAGGTATCTACTCAAGATAAATAAGTAAGTTCTGCCCTGCCTGGTGTGGCTCAGTGGATTGAGTGCCGGCCTGAGAATCAAAGGGTCGCTGGTTTGATTCCCAGTCTAGGACACGTGCCTGGGTTGTAGGCCATGTGCCCAGTAGGGGGCGCACAAGAGGCAACCACATTTTGATGTTTCTCTCCCTCACTTTCTCCCTCTCATCCCCTCTCTAAAAATTAAGTAATTGATTTTTTAAAAAAGATAAGCAAGTCCTTAAATCTGCAACAATCATGCACAAGAATGTTCATAGCATCTATATCTCTCAGTCAAAAAGTGGGAGAAAAATCTCAATATCCATCAACAGGAGTGTGGATAAACAATTTCAGTTTATCTGTATGATGAATGTCTTACCAATAAAAAGGAACAAGCTACTGATACCTGTGGCAACATGGATGACTCTCAAAAAACAAACACAAAAGAATAGCCTATTCCACTTATACAAAGTTTCAAGAACAAGAAAAACAAGGCTACTGTGATAGATGTCAGATCAGTCCTTATCTCTAGGGGTTGTGGATGGGAAAAGGTCATGTGGGTGATGTCCTCTGTCTTGATTTGGGTTAGGGTTTCATGAGGCTACTTATGTATTTAAAACCATTGGGCTGTGCTCTAAATGTTTACATTTTACTGTGTTTGACATATACCTTGGTAAGTACTGTGGGCCCTTTAAAGAAATGAAGAAGGAAATACTTTGGTTATAATGGGGATGGGGAAAGGAGGGACCCAGACTCATCGACACCGCTTGAGGGCATCAGGTCTCTGGTCTGCCCCCCGCAAGTGCGCCCCCAGTGTCGCGGCGGCACCCACGGGCTCAGGAGCGGGCTCGTCCTCCCTGGATCTCCTCTGCGCGCTGCCATCTCATGCCTGGTCCTCTTGGTCTCTCGCTCTCCAGGAACTTCAGAAATACGAGCAGTTCATCTTTGCAGATCACACCAGCATGATCCATGTCGAAAACGTGTACGAGGAGATTTTACATCAGATCCTTCTGGATGAAACTCTGAAAGGTGAGGGAGGTTTACCTGGTGCGGGTGGGCGCGGGGGGAGGGAGGGAACTCTACATAGAGGGGAGTGCACCAGAAATGGGATCCAGTGCGCCCAGCTAGGTTTTCTCAACAGGAGTGAAAGGGGCAGGGGAGCTTGACGATGCTGGGAGATGGAGGCGGGTAGAAGGAGGGGAGAGTAGGACCACTAGCCCTGACTGCGCATGTGCTGTACCGGGAGCGTGAGATCGTCTTCCCCTTCTAAGGACGCTGTGCGATGGGGATGTTGAGGTTGTTTTTCAGATGAGAAGACTGAGGTTTGGAGAGATAAAACCTAGGGTGTCTCATGACCAGCTGTTTTCCTCCAGCTGTTCCAGACAGAACAAAGGACAAAGGGCTCCTCTTAGTCACAGGCTCACAGCCCTGCCCAGAGCAGGAGGAGGTGACCTCGGAGCAGCTGCTCTCGCAGCACATTCCTCATCTCCCCCCAGCTGCACTGAGGAGACCCAGGGCGGTGACCCTGCGCGCTGGGAGGCTCTCTGGGACTCTGGCACCCCCTGGGGAAGAAGGCTTTGCTCCGGACAGGGGTGCGGACTGGAAAACTTGGATAGAGAGAAGGAAGGCCACCCATAAAACTGCAGGCCTGACACATGGCTGGTCCCCACGGGGAAGGTGTTGAGCACCACAAAACCCCCACCACAAAGAAAGCTGGCCAAGTACAAGCCCCGGGTCCCAGTAGCTCAGCACAGGGGGTCTAATGAGATAAGGGACGGAAAGGTGTCCGCACAGCGTCTGCACAGAGGACAGAATCAGTCAAGGCCACTGCCAGGCCATGATGGCACCTTAGTGGGAATTAGAAAAGGGCTCCCTTCACCTGAAACCTATGTAACTTTATTAACCAATGTCACCCCAATAAACTCAACTTTAAAAAATTGGTAGTTACAAAATAGTCACAGGAACATAGTACAGCATAGGAAATATAGTCAAATAATATTGTAGTAACTATGTATGGGGCCGGATGGGTGCTGGAAATATTGGAGGGGACAGTTTATAAAATATATGATTGTCTAACCGCTGCGCTGCACACCCGAAACTAATACAACATAATACTGAATGTAACCTATAATTGGGGAAAAAAACATTTAAACTTAAAAAAAGAAATAATTTATCTAATCCAGAGAGGGAAATGCTAACAACAGCAATAAAATAATTCCTTACTAAAAAAAGAAAAAGAAAAAAGAAAACGACTCTCTCTCTTCAGACCCTGGACTGTTCTCTTTCCCAAAATTAATTGCCACAACACGCTGATGTGTCAGAGCAGGACACGCTTCCACAGCTGCTGGAGGTCATTATGCTGACGACACAAACTATGCTGCCCCTGAGGACAAGGCCGCCCCGCTGGGATGCGATCCTGTTGGGCACTGTGCAGCCTGCACAGCCAGAAGCAGAGGCTCATTGTCAAAATGTCAGCTGCTGTCATTCTTTGTAACATTGCTACTCCTCTCTAGGCCTCTAAGGCTGAGCTGGGTGTACTTAGATCTTCATTTTGGTGTGCTTGCTATTTTTGCTGGAGCATCTTGGCTGCAAACATTTTTGCCCCATAACTAATTGGCCACAAAGCAATTGTTCTAAAAGAAAAATAAAATTATGATAAATAAAAGAGGGACGTTAACACTGAACAAAATTTTAGAAGACTTGATTGCAAAATACAAATATTTGAATACATTTAATATGTGTGTAGATTCATGGCAATACCGCACAAATAACTGATTTTATTTTGTGGTTTGCACCTAACCTTAGCTTTGCCTAAGGCCTTGTCTTTGTTCTATGGGATGTGGGTTCAATTCTGCACCCTTGGAGGCCCTTGGGTGCATCTCTTCCTCTTCCCAACGTAATGTTTCAAAATAAGAAACCGACTAACTCTTGGGGCAAAAATCATCATCATCTGTAAAAAAAAAAAAAAATGCTAACTATTTAAAGATCATCACTATTTATTTTCTCCACTACTTTGTCAATGGAGAAATGAAACCAAACCTGACCAAAACAAAAACAAAAAAAAACCCAAAAACAAAAAATAAAAACAAATCAACATAAAAAACAAACTATCAACCAGTTATTTTATTATCTTTTACAGCAATTGATTCATCAATGGGGAAATGAAACCAAAAAGACAAAAAAAAAACAACAAACAACCCCTAAGAAACAAAACACACACTGTCAACCAGTTATTTATTCTTTTTTTAATATCAAAATAGCCTCACGGCAAATTAGTTACGCAGCAAAAATGTTTGCGGCAAAGTTGCTTGTGGCAGAGACATCCACAGCAAAGACACTGTGGCGACAGCCTAGGCCGACAGGGCTCTCTCTGAGCGCTCAGTACCAAGGACCTATCCCACGCTCAGGACTGCACTCTGGGAAAAGCCGAGAAATGTGAGGCCTCCTTCTGTCCTCGGGGCATTCAGTCAAGGTGGCTATAAACTGGCACCGCACAGATCAGCTGCTAATAAAAGGGGACGGGGCCGTATGAGAGATGCAGGTGATACTATTGTGGATTGCGAGCTCCTTGACAGCAAAGACCACATTTTCCTTGTCTTTGGATTCCCAGAACCTGCCCCGTAGTCAATGCCCAGTAAGCGTTTGCTGTTGGGGTAGTTGAACGCGGAGGAATGAACGAAGGAGCACTAGGGAGGTTCAGGGTTCAGTGTGAACTTGCAGGTTTTGGTTATCAGGGCAGGTGACCTGGAAGAGGGTGAGAGAAAGCTGGAACTTGAACTTCAGATGGTTGGATAACCAGAAAAGCTGAGGGGAGTTTGGTTTCTGGGTCGAATCAGAAAAGCCGAACTGGCCGGGGCAGAGTGCTAATGTCATGTTTTGTTTTCTGGTATCTCAGTGATAAAGGAAGCTGCTGTCCTGAAGAAACACAACTTATTCGAAGACAACATGGCCTTGCCCAGTGAAAGCGTGTCCAGCTTAACAGATCTAAAAACCCCCGCAGGGTCAAACCAGGCCAGCCCTGCCAGGAGAGCCTCCGCCGTTCTGCCAGGAGCCACCGACGGCGAGACTGCCAGCAACGAAGTATTCCAGGAATCAGGGGAAACGAAGCCACCTGGGGTCCCTAGTCCGCTGGCCCAAGAAGGAAGCCTTTCCTTCCCAGGTGGGGACGGCCAGGTGATCACTTCCAGCATGGGTGACCCTGTCGTGAATCCTGTGGCTGCAGAGGATGCGACAGGAGCTCAGGGCACACACCCACCAGAGCTGGAGTTTGGAGGGACTCCCGAGGACAGAGAACCTGCCCACCAAAAGCCAGAATCCCTCGCTGCCTCAGGCTCCTTGAAGGAGCTCCGAAATCTGTTGTCGGTGACCGTTGAAGTGCCAGTGGAGTCTGCCGCCCTTGAGATCGAGAAAGATGCGCATCGGGAGACCCTCGTTCCCCAGGAAATTGAAAAAGAAGAGGAAGCAACCCCAGGCCGCACAGAGGCCAGTCCAACAGCTGCCTCCAGTCAGGACAGCTGTGAGGATGGCGGAGTCAGGGAGGGGGAGGCCCGTCCTCCTGCTGCGGCGGAGGCCGAGGCTGAGGCCGGTGGGGCGGAGCTGCGGGGCTGCACGGGGGCTCTGCCAGCCTGCGGGGGGCTCAGCCCGGGCGCCAGCGGCCCAGACCCCACAGAGGAGCACGCGCAGGCTGGGGAGCCCCACAGGGGGGAGCCCCCAGGCAGTCCCTCCACACCGGAGGCCCAGGAAGGAGGTGTGGCCATGCCCCAAGGAGGTTGCACTGTAAGTCCTGACACCAGCGGCCCCAGGGCGGGCCAGGCCGATGCGGAAGAGGAAGAGGTGGGAGGAAAGGACAGCACGGCCCCGGCCACCGCCTGCGCGGATGCAGAGGCGGTGCAGGGTGCCTGTGGTCACCAGTGTCAGTGGGTGGTCGAGAATGCTCCAAACGCCGACATCCCAGGCCTAGAGAAGGAGGAGGAGCGGGAGAGTCCCCTAGAGCAGCCCTCAGAGGAGTGAAAGGGAGAACTCGGCAGAAGTATTTCTTTGAACAAACTCAGCCAATGAGTTAGTAATGGGTACACTTAGGGGGTGCATGCGTGTTGTTACCAAAAAAAAAAAAAATTATTAAGTGCTTCCTTAATTTGTATTGAAATCAGATGGACTGCAGAGAGGGCGTGAGCACTGAAGCAGGCCTTTGTGGAATTGAGCTGTTCCACCACGAATTCTTGCTTTAGCTTTTTAATCAGAACCACAAAGGTAATGTAGTGTTCAGGGTGAGAGATAGCTGAGGGTGTCCAAGGGTGGGACTGGGTGTCGCATTGAAGATGGAGAAACGGTAGGAGCACAGTTTTCGATACACTCTGCACATCTTCTTTTAATTCACTTTAAGGCTTTTCAGTTCTTCGTAGGAATGCAGACACGGGCTGCAGAGCCAGCTTCCCCATCTACGCTACCAACTTCACAGTCCCTTAAGGACGCAGCCTTTGCCCACGGCCTGGCTGCCGGAAGGTGACAGTGGCGAACACCACCAGTCCCCTGGGTGTGCGGCCCCACAAGGCCCAGGCCAGGGCACGGGAAGCGGAGCAGAAACCGAGGATGGCTGTGGTCTGCGCGGCTGTCTGGGTCTGTTACTAATTCTGCTCTCCGCATCTTGTTAATTAATCTTGTGAATTCTTTTTCATTAATCACCTTTTGGGGAAATTCAAGTGAGGCAAGAAAATTTCCCTAGCATGTTGAAGCGTTCCAAATTAGCCTTAGACTGTGCAGAGAAAGAGCTTAGCTAAATGATGGGGCGTAAAGCCTACCCATTAAACAAATGTTATTGAAACAGCTACTTCTTTGCCACACACTGTGTTAAGCAGAGGAAGAAGGAAGAGGAGGAGGGGGGGGAGGACGAGGAGAAGAAGAAGAAGAACTAAGGTGTTTTGTTCAGTATAAATTAAAAGGCCCAAGGGAATTTAAGAAAATGCCAGTTTTCAAATGATATGCTTTCTGTGCTGACATGAAAGCTTCCTGTCTTTCTATTGAAGCAGTCCTGGTTCACTCCCAGAAGGAAATAAAGTGAATAAATGAATAAAATGAATTAAAAAGAGAGAAGGAAAAGGGAGGGAGGGATGGCGAGGGAGGGAGAGAGAAAGAGAGAAAGAGGGCGGAAAGCCAAGATATATCCATATCATCAAGCTCCGAAGATGTTACCAAGAGTAGAGATCACTTGTTCAGTCATTTAGCAGGTTCAGTGAGTCTGTTACATCCCAGGCGCTGGAGATCCATGATTAAAAAAGATCTGTTCCTTTCTCCCAGAACCTACACTTTAGCAGCAAGAGACACAAATACATCTTCTACGTCGACTGTTACCTATGACTGTTCATGTTACAGGTGGAATGGACTTCCAAAAGATTAAATAGAGAAGTATTCTATTGTCCTTCAGAAAATATCAGTTTATTTCCTAAGAGCTTCAGTCCCAGCACTACATCTTCAAATTTCTTTCCATGAATTTTAATATTAGATCCCAACATGTTGTCCTAAGAACTCAGTTTCATCAACAAGGAAGTTTATAAGAGCTCTTTAGAGGATTTGTCCCAGAGTTTAACCATTTAAGCAGGAATTCAAAATGGATTTCTAGGTCAAAAAGGATGGCAGATAATCAGTATCGGTACAGTCGCCTGATACAACTTTCCTCAGTGAGCTTAGGTCCTCACACCCATGAAGGATCTCCTCACAGGTGAAGAAGGTGGAGGCTACTCCTCCCTGGTCCCTGTGATACCAGCGCTCGCTCATGTCCTTGCACTTAGCATGAAATATTGAAGTCCTCTTACTTCCCGTGTCTTCCAGGGGCTCTTCTCTTCAGGGACAGAAACTAGGGCTTAGCCATTAGAAGTGCTTCCTGCTAGAAACACACAGCCTTGAAAATGGCTTCCTGCCTCCTCAGGTCACTTGAACGTCCCTAGTGCCTAGCAAGGAACTGGCCTGTGCCAGGCTGCTCAGGAAACATGAGAACCCAACACCCACCACTCTGCCGTGCTGGGGCTATTTGGGGCTTGCTGTCAGCCAGGGAGATGTTTTTAAATTGGGCTTTCTGCCCTTGCAGAGCCTTCCCCTAAATCGAGTCCAGATGGCCACATGGTCAGATGCTCTGCCCAGCAAAGCAAGGAGCCAAAGGAACAGTGCCCAGCCCTGCCAAGGGCTGTCCTTCCCTCCAGGAGAATGGTGGCGAGGCAGGAGGTGACAGCGCAGGCTGCCGCCATGCCAAAGCTCCCAGCTTCCTCCCTTTCCGCACATCAGGGCTTCCTGAACCCTCAGAATGCACAGTGATTTTTTCCAACCCAAAAAGAGAGCACATTTCACTGCGTCGGGTGGATGAACATCAGTGCCCTCCCTTAACCTGTCCTGTAGGCCCGAGGGGACTGGGCACGAAGTGGGAGGACGCGCTTGAGAATACAAAGCATTTTTCTGTACATGTTTCACAACAGACAAATTCACTAGACTATGCAGGATGGTGGTTGCACTTGCAGATGAAACAGGAAACTAAAGTGCATTCAAAATATTCCTTATTCATCTTAACGTGTTGAATGGAATAACTTCACGTGACGGTCGGTGTGTTGCTCTTCACACGGACTTCGCTTGTGTTGCTTCGGTGGATCCCAGGTTGGAGCGAGGTCACTGTGATTTCAGGAAGCGGCACAGCCTCCGCAGGCTGCACCAGGGCTCTCTCTTATGGGCAAGTCTACCAGAAATGCGTCGGCCACGAGACTTGCTATTTGGCAAAAATTCCATGACTTTAAATGAGTTGTTACTATTGACCTTCCACAAATAACACTCTCCTTAAAGAAATTAGCTTGCCATTTTCTCCTCTGCAGCTTGGAGGTGAGACAGTAGTGCCTTGCATTACGGAGAGTAAATTCTCTTTTCAAAAAAAAATTAAAAAAGCATTTTGGAGACCGCAAGAATGAACTTCCAGTTTGTCTAAAAGCTTTAAAAAGAGGCTGAGCATGAAAACCTGTGGGTCGTTAGGCCTGATCACCTACATTTATTAAGATTCTCAAGTTTGGTGTTGCAACCTCCAGGTTGGAGCCAGTGATTTCAAAGGGCGTCACAATCCTCCCAGACAGGTGACTTTATTTCTTTGTAATAAGCGCTAAGTGATATATGTTACAGAGCAGTTTTAACGCGGGGAAGGGGAGGGTGTCTTTGACTAAAACAGTAATGCAATCCAGTAGGTAGAACATTGGCTACATGTACCACCTTTACCATAAACAAATGGGTTTGGGGATTTGCCTTCTGAAGTCTACAACCTTAAGACAAAAAATCAGCATTGGGGATTCGCATGTTTTTAGTCACTATGTAAAGCAAATAAACCTAAAACACTTTGTAATCATGCATTTACTCTGTGAAATTTCTATATCCCAATAAAACATTCATCCCGGAAGAGATGTCCAGATGTCCTGTTTCTTGGGAATGGGCCTGGTTTCATCGTTTAAGCAAATGTCATAAGCTGAGCTGGGAAGAACAGTCCTCAGAAATGACAAGGTGAGTCACCATTACCACGTTATGGAACTTTTAATTTTCTGTCATCAGGAAGAAATCCACAGGGAAGTCACTTCACCTCAGATGTAATTATGCTTTGAAAAACTGCATACGCTTGTTTCTCTAGGAATTAGATTATGTCTAACTACAGGAATTGGCAATTATTCTTGACGTAATTGAACTGCTGTTCAAACAAATTTATTTTCAGTGGGTAACAGAGTGACACATTCATTCTTTCTCTAATTGTAAATAAAACAATATTTACTCACCAGTGTCGACAGCTGCTCATTTATCCACGAGTTCACTTCATCCAAGAAATAATGAGTGTGGACCGATTATGTGCCAACACTGTAGTGGGTGCTGGAGAAAGAGGCGGACACAGTGGACGTGAGCCCTACAGCAGCAAACTCATATTTGCAGGGCGAACATGGCCAGGGAAAGCCCGAAAGGGGTATCTGCTTCCTTGCCTGGCATACACCCTGTCTATAATCTCAGCTTTAATTCTATCACGCCAACAGCCTCAGACTAGAGAGGAAGGGACATTGGAGAAATCAAGTCAGGGGCGGTGGGACAGCGGGCGTGGCAGAAACCTCACTCCTCCCCTCCTCCTGCCGTGCCAAGCTTCCGGTGCGCGAGAACCCTTCCCAGAGGGCTCCTCCACAACTTCTGTTGAGGGCCCATGGTCAGGTTGGAATGGCAAGTGAGCGGGTTGATTTGAAACTGCTTGCATAGTTTTTATTTTAGATTATATGTATGCTTGATGTGGCTAGGATGGGACTGGTGGAGGTCTTGAGAGAAGTCAACTAGTATGCCAAGTGTCTATAGTTGCGGTATTAGTAATTGTCAAAAATTGGCCCTGGCTGATGTGGCTCAGTGGCTTGAGTGCCGGCCTGCGAACCAAAGGGCCACCTGTTCATTTCCCAATCAGGGCACATGCCCAGGTTGCAGGCCAGGTCCCCACTAGGGGGCGCACGAGAGACAATCACACATTGATATTTCCCTTTCTCCCTCCCTATCCTTCTCTAAAAATGGATAAAATCTTTTTTAAAAATAATTGTAAAAAACTAGAAAACAAGCCATATGTCCTTTAGCTGGTTAATGTACAAACTGTGGTACATCTATATGATAGACTACTACTCCACAATAAAAAGAAATGCTCTATCGATAGACCCGGTAACATGGCTGAGTCTCAAAATAATTAGAGTGAAAAAAGCCAGACAAAAAAGGATGCATACTATATGCTTCCTTTTATATGACATGCTGGGAAAGGAAAAACTATAGAGCTAAAAATAGATCATTGGTTGCCTGCAGTTGGGGGTAGTAGGAGCCTGTAGGAGACTGTGAAGTGGCGTGTAAGAGAACTTCAGGGGCGGGAGGGGGCGGAACTGTTCTGTATCTTGATTATGGCGGTTGCTCCTTGACCGTATGCATTTGTTAATACCCATGTAACTGTGTGCTGAAAAGGGTACACGTTCGTCCTATGTAAATGATAACTCAATGAACATCACTAAAATATATATTTTCTTCAATGGCCCCAGTTTTCAACACTAAGGAAATTATTAACTGTACTATGAAACTTTATACAGTAAAGCATTACCCAGTTGTTCTGCACTTTGTTATACTTTTTCTCTGCCTAGCAGGTTAGGGACATTCTTCTTGTATGTGCAAAGTTTCTGTGTCTAGTTAGATGCAGCCAGCTTGTTTTTCCTTTCCCTTGTAGCCAGGGCATGCGTGCACGATGTAGGCCCCACCTGTCAGTCTTGTTCTTAGGACATTTCGATTCGAAAGAGTGGTAAGAAGAAGGAGGTGCTTACAGACAATCTATTCTGCTACAGCGGTGGGCTGTGGCAGAGGGTCTAGCAGTGAGTGTTCCACCTCCAAAGTCAATGGTACAATTAAATTCCCGAAGCCTTCTGGTGCCGTGATTTGGGATGTATATTCCTCAAGTCTGGTTCTTGCACCCTCCAAAATTTTAACATATTTACATTCATTTAAATTTTAAATTAATGAATTTAATGAGCTAGAGTGCTGTTTGCAACCAAGAACCTGGACTGATAAAACAGTCATTAAAAATTGTGTGTGTGACCAGGTCCTTACCAACATGAGCTGAGACTGCGTCATGGGTATGGTGGCTTAGGCCATCACTGAGCAATGTGACCTGTGCTGGGCCATGGCTTCCATACCATGAGCATGTGGCGGAGGTGAATGCCATTGTCTCCAGCAAGAAGCTCTACAACAAGCTACAGCTCACATCACTCATCTAACAAAGCGGATGCAGAGTGCCCATTTAAAGTGCAGGAAGAAGAGAGAGGAGAAAGAACTATGTTCTCCACCTGTAGATCCCCAACTCATAGATGCACTGAACTGAAAAACACCAGGAAGAGACACTTAAAGCTTTCTGCTGAGCTATTTTATTTTCAGTATATCGGGGTGTACCAGCCGACCTGGAAAGGAATTGTTTACCAACAGCTTGCAATGCTGTGGGAAAGGCTTAGCCACAGTTTTGAGGGTTTAAAAAATCCCAAGAAGATTACTATACACACATAGGCCAAAAATAAGTAAGTAAGTAAATAAATAAATAAAACCTCAAAGGAAATTTAATGAAATGGAAAACGTGGCTTGGGCTGCTGAGATTTTAAACGGTTGTTATTGTCTTTTGAATCCTCTCCCTGCCCGTCACGTTCCACAGTGAAGATGTGTTATGGTCAAAATCGGAAAACCTTGAATGCTTAAAAATATTTTAAATTTGAATTTAAATTTGGCCAAAAGGTTCTCTGTTTTTCTAGAGTCCCATAAGTCAAGGGATTCTTTGGATGTACTTCCTTCCTCCGATCTTTAGGCCCGTTAACAGCCGTGTGCAATCGGGAGTGATATAAAGCAAAAGGGGAAAAAAACACACGCCAGACATAGTTGCCAAGGTAAAATTGGTTCCCTAAATAGCCCCTTGACAGCTACTGTTCTGAAGGGCTCTGCTCCTCCTTTGAAGTTCTGATCTTGACTCGACTCTTCTTCCCCAGAATTCCTAGGTAAATGCCCTGGCATCTGCCAGACCATCTTGCCGGCACTATCTTCCCACCATGGGGAGCCAGGCACCAGCACGGCAAGTTCTAACAGACAGCCCAGTGGGGAGTTAGGAGCTACTAGGTTCAACTTTCAGTCATGTGTTACTGATGAATCCCCCAAGAGGTCTCACATGAAAGACAACTCAATTTATTTAAGGCCATGGCCGCCTGCTTGATACGCCTTCGGAAATTACAAATACGAAAGAGATCACACTCATTAAAGCACAACGTGACATGCTGTGAAAAACACAACAGATGGTTATTTGAAGTCTGAAAAGCCTGAGTTTTGAATTTTTCTTCCGAATAGCCTTTGATGTATAAACCTTTTTTTTTTTTTTTGATTCTTTGAAAAATAGTGATTCCTAGGTCAAAACCACAAGTGGAAACTCTCTCTTGGTGGGTAAAAATTACCTGAAGATAAAATTGCTAGACTCTGCTAATGGGATGAGGTTAAACACATGAACACAAAGCATTTTGAACGTATCCCCATGAAAAAGACAATCTCATAATTACTCTTTAAAATTTAGTCAACCCATAAAAACTGGAGAGACGCTCCTTTAAATGAAATTTTTTTCATTTTTAGTTATATAACAATTATCATGAAAGCAAAACTTTGTTCCACTCAATTAAAACTGATTACTCTATAAATTATACACAGCTGCCATCATCAAGAAGTGTTTTCAAAAATATTAGTTTGGAATTAGCAGTGTTACACTAAAATCTTTGAGAAGGAGATTATGCACTAGAATCTTATGTTTAAGACCTCTTGTTAACTAACCAGGTGTTAAGATGTAAGGGATGAAGTTAACTGTGAAGAACATAAAATTTGCTTTCTTCGCCTCAATTGTTTTCCTGGAACTTTACTCCCATCCCTAGGCCTTTAGCTAGGATTTGCTTCTCAGTACTCTGTTCTCTGTAGTATTTTAGATGCTCCAAGATGTTAGTTATCAAGTGCTAAACTCAGTCAATGCTATTGTGGATGCTAGTAACAAAACCTTACTCAAACTTGCTTGGGTGAAAAGAGGAATAAGTATCTCATGGAAACTAAAGAACCTGCAATTCATCAGGAGGTAATTTCCCCATCTTTCTCTGTGCCTCTGGCTACCTGGTCTCCCATTTTTGCTTCTCTGTGCAAGCTGTTCCATTCTCATCTCTGCAGGGTAGCGCTCCCTACTTGTCTGTACATAGGGAGGCCTGTGACCAACTTACAGCCCCTGACTTTATTTGCCCCCACATCCAGAAGCCAGCAAAGACTAGAATTTCTGAACCTTGACTCCAAATTTCTGGGAGAGAGACTCTGGAAGACCCAATTTGGATCAGGCATCTACCCCGGTCCAAATCAGCCACAGCCACGGGGTGCGGTGGCATTAAAAAAGTGAAAAGAAACAGATGAAATTAGTTCATGATATAGTTTATTTAATCCAACATATCTAAAATATTATCACTTAAACAATGTAATCAATGTTAAAATCATCAGCAAGTCTATATTACGTTTTCATAACAGAGCTTTGAAATCCAGTGTTCACTGAGGAACTAACCACATTTCATGTGCTCAAGAGTCAAATGCGGTGAGTGGCGACCACATTGACCAGCACAGTTCCAGAACATGCCATTAATGACATCATGAATCAGATTTCCGGAAGTGCAACACAAAGAAAACTTCATAAATGCACAAAAACGGCTTCTAAACTCCAGGTTCCCCATGATACTGAAGGAACGGAAGTGCTAGGAGAACCTTTCTGTTTAACTAGTGTATATTCACCCTTCCTTGCGTGACCTTCCTTCTAACTTCCCTGCTTTCTCACCAAAACCTAATATCAAGTAAATTAGATAACTTGGCAAACCATTGAGTTTTCTTAACAACTTCTAACAGACTCCACCTGTCCAAGTGGACCAGTGAATTGAACAGCCCTCTAGTACTTTTATGTTAATCCTATTATATTTCATTCTTCTGTTCCAGGAGAGACTGTTTACTAGCTGTGTCTTTTATTATCGCCAGGAGATCGAAGTACCCTCAAGGGAAGCTGCCTCGCAGTATTTCCAGTAATGCATTATCTCTCTGTATCTTATACAGAGGAGAAAGGAAAAGGCAAGTCCTAGAGATAAGCTGGAAAAAACTTCTGCAATTGTAAAATCTACCCACGGCTCAGACAAAATAATGACCTTTTTTAACACCTCTCCCAGGAGATCCTGTTATTTGTTGATAGCACTTAGGG